CTTTATAAGATATATAATAATTAGTAACTGATATTATATTATGTATATATCTACGTATTTATAATTTATTATATTATAGAAAATAATTATTTCAGAAACATTAAGAGTCAAAAGTAGAAACCCATGGCACTAGAAGAAATATGGTCGGTTCTGAGGAAATTACCGGGAAAGTGCGCACGCATCCAAGTCAGCCAGGGTGGACTGATGAAAATATGACTATTCCTTGGTGAGCTGTTGATCCGTGTACAGGTTGTACGTAATTTTAACGTAATTCTACAAAGGACGCACGTAGCTCGTATTATTTGCTTACATTAATATTTATAATTTTTTTATTTGATCTTGTTCTTCTTGAAGTCAGTGAATAGTGAATGTTAAAAATGGTATCCGGTGGAATGGCTTGCGTCAAATACCTGACATTTCTTTTCAACCTGATATTCGCAGTAAGTACTCCATGTTATGTTCGTTACATACGTTTTCTATGAGTATCAATTGTATTTGATATCGTCCTTTGATGTTCATTGAAATTTTCTTAGTTATGATTTTTAAACGAATTAAAAGAAAGTAAAATAAGCAATGATTCTAATTTTATTAAAAATTAAAGTTTTCGAATAATTTAAAATAATTATAATGATAAATATGTAGTATTTATAATCAGCATTGACTAAAGAATGTATTTAATTATTTAAATGCTGTTTTTAATTTTATTAATACTATAGAGAATATTTCAAAAAATAAATGTTTTTTTGTAATATACAAATTATTGATTATTTGAGTAGATTATTTGATTTTTTGATTTTACTACAAAACTGAAACATTTAATTTCAAACTTCCTAATGCATATATATATATATATATAGAATATCACTGTTCAAAATATTAAAATTAAACAATTTAAAATATTTGTGAAATATAATTAATTTTTCATTCAAAATTTGTTCTCTTTAACCCTTCGTCGGTAACATGAATTGTACAAACGTTATATGTGTCGGATTGAGGTTCGTAACTTGTTATGAACATAGTAAACAAGCTGGATTGAAATCCTGTATGATTCCTGTTATGCATAGTGACATTTCAATTTGAGGTCATTTAATGGCTCCTATTATTGATAGTGTATCGAATTTTCTCTGAAATTGTTAACGTTTGTTACCGACAGAGGATTAAAATTAAAATTAAATATGTTTTTCCGTTATTCGCTTTATTACACGAAATCATTATGGAATTATTAAGTGATCTCTGTTCCTAGATGTAGATTACAAGATTTATTCTTATGTTTGCGTGAATATTTATACTTTTTTAGATTAGTCACGTATGTGAACGTAATTGTTTATAATTTCATGAATTATTATTATAGTTATTTTCTGTAAGTTACAATTGAATTTTTCTTTCAATGTATTCAACACTCACGTATGTTATCTAACCTTATATATGTGTGCAATTTTGAAATGCTTACGATCATACGATTATATTTTATTTTTAAACGGAATTTTAATAAATAATGATTATATAAAGTAAAACTAAGTTTATTATTTCTTAAATAAATTATTTTTATATATATTTTAACTTTATTGCTATTAGAATAATCACTTGTTAATATTTATTAATTCCTGACAAGAGAAAAGTTTTCTTACATTTCTCTTCTAATAAGAAGTATGTAAGGTTAAGTTAATACAATTTTTTTAATCTTTACTTAGTTCCTATTCTTACTATTTGGAATGAAATTCCAGAAAGTCCCAGTTTCCGATTAAGATGAAATTTGGAAAAGAAAGGGAAATGAGGAAATGGACCTTAAATCTAAAATTTTATCTTTGGGTGTTTATCAATTTACGAGGTATTAATAAGAAACTTTTGACAGTAATATTGAATTATGTTTATACGTACAAATCTATGATAATATACGTGTCAGCTTCGACCGTAGTTTAACTACTATATCTATATAAACACATGGCAGTAGCCGGTAACCAATATCTATAACGGGTGACCTAGTTAAAAGAAATATTTTTAATTAAATAAATATCGCTATCAGTGAAAATTAAAAAAGAGGTAAAAAAATACAAGCGAAGAAGGAGTTTCTTCGTCTCTCACCTTGCACCACATAAAATATAACCTAACCTATTCTTAATCACTATTCTACAGAACACAATGACGAAATAATTTAGACTGTACAGTAAAACAGTTGAAAGGATATACTAACTTTCTAAGCAATTCTTGCGTTTGTAAAACAAGTGTTTTAAAATATTTTGTTGCCTTTTCAGCTCTAACGTTTAAATTGATGTCGTAATTTCAAGAATTCGTGGAGAGTTTGTTACCGTTGTGTTTAGAAGGCAATATTTACTTTAATTTTGATACTTTTCTATCAACTAGTCATACGTTATACGTATTGGTTACCTACCGTTGTGAGGTGTTTACAGAAAGGGTAATTAGTAAGCGGCCGGAGATTAATACGTTGTCACGGATGAATGCGCAAAAGCAAAATTCACTTATAATGCCAAATGTTTTTATTAATATTTCGGGACTATAGTCATTATCTGTATTTGTTGTTTTACCATATCAAAGTTAATGCAAATTATTTAAAAATTGTAATTAAAATAAATAAACTCATTTATATATATATTTAAAAAAAATATAACAATATATATATTGTTATATATATATAATATCAATATTATTTGTATAATATTAATAGGATATAATGAGAAATATAAAAAAATTATAAAGTTTTTGAAGAAAATAAATTATTTCAAACAATATTGAGTATTTAATGACCTTGCCAAAATAAATTGTAACATTGGAGGACAGAATTTGTTAAATAATGCAAAGTCTTCTCTTATCATTTTTTTCCAATGTCACTAGAAACAAAGCAAACATAATTTAGTCTAGATGTTACATTTACTCTATGTATAGTTAATTTTGCTATTCCTATGAAAGCTTATAAATTTAAAAAGATTTATAGATATTTAATTAATACTTTTATATCAATATAATGCTTTCTTTTATGTTTTATTTCTATTAAACTGTATATATTTAGTTAATGTACAGTTAATATTGTTATATTTTTTTTTAAATATAAGTTTCCCAGTTTATCAATAAATTATTATTTTAATGAAAATAATTGCCAAATTTGTTTGATTGCAGATCACAGGAATTGTATTTATCGCAGTTGGTACTGTGATCTTGGTGGTTTACAGTGGCTATAATAATTTTATGGATAGTTGGTTCTTTGCAGCACCATTATTGATGATTGTAGTAGGTGCAATTGTGTTTATTGTATCATTTTTTGGATGTTGTGGTGCTATCAAAGAGAATCATTGTATGATAATAACGGTAATAATCTATAATTATTTATATAACAATCCTTTACAATATCATTCTTTTATACTACAATCAATTTTTTCATGTTTACTTAACTAAAATAGATATAAATATTCTGCTAAAAATAATCTTCAAACATTTATTCAGTTTTGATTTACTGTCTTAATCAACAAAAATTTTGTCTTTTTATATTTGTTTTAGTTTTCCGTTTTGCTCCTTCTAATTTTTGCACTTGAACTTGGTGCTGGAATTGCTGGATATATGATGCGTGGAGAAGTACGCACAATGGTGGAAAATCGATTAAATAGCACTATGAAAGAATATTTAACTAACAGTGATGTTCGTAAATCTTGGGATATTATGCATCATGATGTATGTATACATAATGATACTTGTATATATTAGGGGGATTCAAAATATCAAAAGAATAGACACATAACAGAACTTATCAAAGTTTATATCCTATTTTATTTTATAAATAAAATATTTATGATTAATACATAATGTATCAAATATAATGTATATTTGAACTTCTGTAACATATAAACAATTACAAAATAACTCCTCACATATTTTTTTCTAATAATACTATAGTTAAACATAAATAATAAAATTAGAGTTAAATATTTATATTTTAACTAAATTGTTAATAAATTATAGCTACAGTGTTGCGGAATGATTGAGTCAACTGATTGGGCTCTTGTTGTAAAGCAGTACCAGAAGGAAATAAATGTGACTGAAATTCAATTCATATATATACAAATGGTTGTATGAACAACCTTCAGTCTGCTATTGAACATAATGCTTTAATTTTGGGTGGAGTAGGCATTGGTATTGCTATTATTCAGGTAAATTTTATTGTTTATTTCTTATAATTTTGAATATTTTGATATTAATCATAAAAAACAAAATATTTTTTATAAATTAAACAAAAAATACGTTTTAAAAATTTTGCAAAAATATCTAAATAATAGTAAAATTATGTTTATAGAGTATTAACGCATTCCATTTAGATCTTGTGTATCACTTCAGTAATACATGTGTTAAAAGAAATGGAATATTATATTGGTCAAAATTTTATTAATTTTCATTAAAAATCAATACTATTTTATATTATTCAGATTCCTATGTGTAACTGTTAATTTACTAAGGTCATGTTGTTAATATATTTTTTACCAATTGTTGTTATTATCAGATAAAACCTACTACTAACTAAGTAAAATTAATGATATAATTTAATTTTGCAAGATTGAATTCATATATTACAATAAAATATTTTTGTTTCAGTTAATTGGGGTAATCTTTGCATGCTGTTTGGCACGTTCAATTCGTCGCGAGTATGTAACTGTGTAAGCAAACAGACACCTCCAATTTTAATGCCTAAAAATTGCACTCAATCTTCAAAATATGCCTTTCTTTCACTCTTACATATTCATATGTATATTCTTCTTATGTTCTTCTTTAAGTAACAGAGTATTGCACAAATTGCACATTATATGTTTTTTATCATACTGCACAAAATAATATATAGAAAATCATTTCTATGCAATGTAATTAATTAATGCTGTTATTATTAATGTTTTATACGTTATGTATGTCTCAAAGGAATACCACTTATAATTTCATTATTACAACTATTCAACACTCCTATTATTACTGTTATTACTACTGCTATTACTGGGATTGTTATCACTATTAACATAAATAATAGTAATAGTAAAAGTAGTATCATAATTTTTAGTTTGATTTTTGTACAAATTAGTTCATTCTAAAAATCTCAATTCTAATATCAAATGAAAGAAGTATTTTTGTGCAGTACCATGTCTTTTTTGACTGTTTCTTTAAGACTGATCATTTTAATCTATGTTAATCAAGAAAAATCTTTTGTACTTTGTTTATAAACTGCACGTGAAGATTTAAAAACTGCAAACCAAAAATCATATATTTATTTTAAGATTTCAATGTTGAATATATGGATATTAACATGTTTGTCATAATAATTTATTCATAGTTTTTACGTTGTGAAACGTAATTATGAATAATAGTACATATTAATTCAGTTTCCCTTTGACATTAAACACGATACCATTGTAATTGTTAAAAGTATTATGCTTTTAATGTCAAATAGTTTTTGCCTTTTTTACTGAATTTAAATTTATTTGCAGTTCTGTAAAAAATATTTTAATATAACATAACTTTTTAAATTTTGTATGGTATTTTTTAACATGTTCTATGAACTATAAATACAATTTTTAAAAAATACCAAACAAGAAATAAAAAGTAAAAATAACATAATTTTTAATCAAAATGTTATGCTCGAATAAAAAAGATATTTAAAAGGCATTATGGTTAAATCATTGAATAAATAAAAAGTAATATTTATATTATATTTATAATGATTATATTAATTCCTATAAATTCATTCTCTTTTATTTTTACTTTAATGTGATATTTATACCATCATGCCTTTTATTTGGTTAAACTATTTTATTTAAAGATAACAGATTAAATTACTATTACAAAAAGATGATCTAAGAAAGTCTCTATTTATGTAAAAAATAAAAAAGCGTTCTATTGTTCATACAAAGTTTACATAATATTGGTACAATAAATTATGATTACAAGCAGTAAATATAATTATATGATTACACAGTTGTATGTTTAAAGAATTTTGAAGACGGTTTCATTCTAAATGGAACAATTTGTCTTCTGCACTGATACAAGTTCAATATTGTTAATAAACAGCTGTGTTTGATTGATACTGATGCTGTATGATTCTTTAAGAATATAAAGCTACGCTTTCCATTATCTGGATGTTACATTAAATTAAAATATTTCAATGAAATAATAGAAATATGATGTTCCCATTTTTTCCTCTTTTTTAAAGGAATATTCTTTAAATAAAAATATTAAAAATAAAGATATTTAATTGGAAATATTACAAACAAATGATATTCATATCATTTTCATATTTTTCTTTCTTTTTTTATTTCTTTGAAATAAGATATTTCTCTAATTATTGTACATGTATAATTTTAGATAATGATTCGATTTTATTTGTATTTATTTAATTTATCGCTTATGAAAAAATAAGAAGTAAATATGTAATGTTTAAAATTTGTAATAAATGAATATTGGAATAATATTAAAATAATTTTCTATCTTCTTTCTATCTAAAATCTTATAAATTTTAAAATAATTATTGATAATTTTGTTATTAGTAAGAAACTTTTTTAAATAAGTGGAAATTAAATATTTAAATTTAAAAACAACATGAATCTTTAATATTATCGATTTTAACAATAATGTGATTAATATAGCGTTATACTATACAGTATGTAACATAATATTAAAGATTTTAAATATGAATAAATATCCTTATTTTGGAAAGCGTAAATAACTTTGCACCTTCTCGCTTTGCCACATGAGGTATTCAACATAATCTGCTAGAAGCTGCTTGTTATTTCAAGCAACTTAATTAATTTCTACTTCCAGCGAGACTGCAGCGCACTGATTCAACACCCAATAGGAGGCATTATAACTAAATATTGTTCGTCGTGCATTCATTAAGAAAATAATTCTAGAGTCGTCGCAAGACCATTTATTTAGAACTTGGTTGTAGACTAACATTCATCTGCAGTCTAGCTTAAGAAGAAAGCAAATTATTGGAGAATATAATTCAATACACTGTCATTATCTGCCAAATAGTTGAAACCAAATATCTCTTTCTTAGACTGCGCTGTATGTGGAATTAAAGCTTATGGCATAAGAATGTTTGAAAAGAGTTTGGAAGGTCGTTATATATATTTGGCTTGATGTTTATCATGAAAAAGAGACTCTTTCAGGGCTTGATTTAAAAAAAAATTGTCTTTCAAATTTTAACTCTGTGTAGTTAAAATAAGTTTTAACATCTTATATTCGTCTTAACTATTGTATTTGTACAAAATACATTTTTGTATATACATGGAGCTGGATAAATGTTTTTTTCTAAAATACTAAATATTAAAATTTTATTAAAAAAAGAAAGTAGTTTCAAATAATAAGTTTTATTTCTTTTATAATAATATTTATTGACATTTTATGCCAAACATTGATTAATAAAAATGTAAATTGAATATATTGTGAAAAAAATTATTTTTGTATACATTGCTACGATATAACAAAAAAATATCTACATTTTTAGAAAAATTACTCATTTATGTGCTCATAAAAGAATTTAATAGTAAATAAATTATGTTTTACAAAGTAACAAAAATTAATTAAATTAGAAAAGAGTTACAATTTTATAACTTTCATTTTGAAACATTGAAAGTAATTTTATTCAGCTCCATTATCTAAAAGATTATTATGAAGATCATGTATTATAAAATAAAATTTACTTTTATTAGTTAATTTCTTCAAAGGACAAGAATTTATCATGAAATATGTTAAACTATTTTTGAACAATTTTACAAAAACTAATTTGAAAACTGAACTCTTTTATATAGTTATAATTCGCATAATTTCATTATTAATCAAAGAATTACCTTTCACAAAATTACAAATTTTTATTATAGTATTATACAACACTAAAAAAGGAGAAAAAAGTAACATGAATTTAAAATGTTTAAAAATATTAATTAATTTTGTCCAAGATCATTGCATTATATTGTGATTTTGTAATTTATTATATATTGGGACCAAAGTTTTAATTTCTACAGTGAGGAAATTAAAGATTCAATGCATGATCTGATACAAATGCTAAACAAATTTGCGGCGATGTGTTTTTGTTATTCGTATACGGCAGCTTACAAAAATATTACAAAATTTATAAAATTGCAAATTTATGGCATTGCGTCGATTTAACGAATTCTATTATAATTATTGCAATCGTAATTATAATTGTTTTTTTGTTTGAAATCTCGCATATTTTGACAAAGATGTAATTTACAAATCAAAACGTAGAAAATAATTAATTATTTGATCAAATCGAAAGTAATTGATATTATTTATCAAATTAAATATTCATTTTTTGTATAGTATGTCACACATAATACCAATAATGATAATAATAACAGTCATTTAATAACAAACAGCATTTTGACCCCTGTTTTGAGCATTATTATTTCAACAGTGTGCTATAAAGTTTTATACAATATATTTATTGCTTGATATCACATAATTTACATAATTATTATATTTAAGTAATTCGGTATAATCAATATATTAAATTATTAGAAAAAGGGGGTCATTCAATTAATTAAGTAATCCATTAGAAAGAAATTTATCAAATTTTGATTCATAAATGAAAGTGAAAAATCAAAATACTCGTGTAAATATGAGTTTTAAGGTTTTTATAGATAACACTTATGTAAAGTGTAATTATTTACTTAGACAATCATGATTAGAAACGTATACATAAAAAAATAAGCGAGGTTTCAATCAGTTTTAAGTAATGGAAAGTCACAAGCGGAGAAAAATATTTCTCAATAGATAATAATCGAAACATTAAAAGTATGCCTAATTTTTTGCAACGTTTTTAAATCATTAATTTATATATTAAAATTGAGCACTTAAAAGTTAATAGTTCAATATATTTTAAACTTTTGTAATTATTTATCTTTGTTTCAATTATAAATTTATTTACTAACAGTTTCTATTTTAAACTGTTTTTAAGTTAAATTTGTATTTTATAAATTTTATTTAAAATATTTTTACTGTTTTGTAATTTATTTATTTAAAGTATATTTAATTTTTACATTTTCCACTTCCTCCTTAAATTTATATAGTAAGATTTTAATCTATAATGTTAAGTTGTATAAATGTGTAGATGTTAGAATGTTCATGTTAAATTAGTTTCAATATATGTACATGCATTTAATTTAAAACTATATTAGATTTTACACGATAACTATATATTAGATGTTACAACATTAAGATCTTTTATTCAATAAGAAACGTTCTCATTTAATGGTAATATTTGATCTATATCAATTTATATAATTTCGTAAAATGAATTGTAATTCATAATATATGTTATCGAAACAAAAATCAGCATTCGAATGTTACCTTAGATGATTGGCTGACAAAAAGAAAAGACTGATAATAATATAATAAAAACAAAAAACAAAGTCAGTATTAAATGAGAAGTAAATGGTTGTTCTTTTATGGTATTTAGTCGCTTATAATATTTTTCTACTTGTAATTTAATTCATCGATTTATTAATGTTCTTTAAGAGCTGACCCACATTAGCATATCTTGTTCATATAGCTTTTATCTATATAAATAAAATATATTAAGTAAACATTGCGTTTATTAACTTAATTCTAAAAACCATTGTTTCCATTAATCTTTAGATATTATTTGGAATTATTAATTATTAAAGTAAAATTATATTTATTATTTTTTGTATTTTGTTTTATTTTTTTAAAGGGATATTGTATTTAAAAAGAATTAAAACAAAAATTATTACTAAAATAGAAAAAACAATAAAAATTCTATACGACCAGATTTTTTTCTTTTATTCTGTTTTATATTCACTTATAAGATTAGCAGACTAACATTCATTAATCATATAGGATGCTCTCTTGTAGCGATCTTACAACTATTTGTTGAAGGAAAAAATAAAAGAAAAAAAATTATGGGGAAAGATAGAACAGGAATTTGTTTAAACGATTTTTTATGTCAGTATTTCCTTTAAAATATTTTCAATTTAATTATTTTCGATCGATTACTAATATATTTTCCAAATTGTTTTATCGCCTTTTTATTTTATAAAAACTACAAAATTATTTAAATTTAGAATACTTTGAAAATTATTAAAATGCTTTGCTATCCTGATTCTTCAACCGATTCAAAGAATCGTTTAAACAATTTCCTTTACATAATTTCTATGCTGAAACACGCTTCATTAAAAATGTTTTTACTTTTTTTTGTAACATTTAATTACAAAAGAGCAAATTTCTACGTACGATCTATATACAATTTCAGGGGTCCAAAAGATCTATAGATCATTTTATCAAGAACCTCACAGAATATATTTACAAGAATCTCAACGAGAGTAATTTCAATCAAATAAAAAACAAAATTTTTTTGCGCGACATAAACTGTACAATAATTAATTAATGAATGAAATCATTGATTAAAACAGCAAATGCTCAGTTTTTAGAAACTTTTTAATTTTTGAAACTTTTAGTATCGTTAATTTTATTTATGATATATGCTATTGTAATATTAATAGCTGAACAAATTTTATGCTAATATTTCATTTATCAAAATTAATAACTAATTAATATATAATGTGAATAAATTTTATAACTTCAATAATTGATTCATTTTCAATTAGCTTATATCGACAAAAATTTTGTTACAAGGATATTATGTTTGAATTATTTTTTAATAAAGATGAAAAAATTTATGAAAATCATGGATTGTGATTTGTTTTTATCTTTAACATAGAGAAAATAATATTTATTTACACTTATAGCGATTTAAATTGTATGGGCCCGATTAAAACATGACATTGGAAGGCGGTTTGAATTATATCGAATATCTAACAACTCAAAACTAATTTAGTTTTTTTCTTTTAGGGTGATTATTGATATTAAATAAATATAATCGAACAGATTAAAATTTATATAAGCAATCTTCATAAAATACGTATTTTCTTTTCTTATCTCGATAGAATTAAGTATATTTAAATTAGAACTATTTTCAATGAAATAGTTTTATGTAATATGATTTTATAAGTCATATTTTATGTAGAAATTATGTGTAGAATCCAAAATTTTAAAGGGACCCTTAAATTTCTACCAGCCTAATTACTTACAAGTCAGATTATTTGTATTGTTCATAATATTGCCTAACCTATCAATATTATTCGGTACTCGCAGTGGACATACCACTTTAAATACTATCTCATCGCAAATTTTTAAAACGAGCAAATGAACAAGAGAAATGGAAGAAAAAAGAAAAAATAGAGAAGCCCTCACTTTCGCCTTTTCACCCTTAAGCTAAATTGCAAGAAAATAAAAAATTACAATTTTTGTTGCTATAGCTATGAAAATAATGAATGATGCAAATTCACAAATCCAATCTATTATTTTATCTCAAAAGATAAATTACTTCTATTTTTGGAAGACATTGTATAGTAATATTTACTAAACAAGAAAAGATTGGGCAGTTTGAGAAAAAAGTAGACTTATATTATATAATAAAAAATAGTACTTTCTTTTGAATTGAATATATTACACTAATACCAATACTAAATATATTATTTTGTAGTAATTTATTGTTTAAAAAAATGAATAATTTTATTATAAAAATGTATCAAATTTACGTAATTTTTTCTATAAAAGAAATTTGTTATAAAAACGATATTATGATTTCTTTTTTCAAAATTTGTTTAGTAATTACAAAGATAAATAAATTTTATGTTTGTAATGGGAAAAATTATTTGAGACTTAATATATATTTTTATGGTATCATTAATTAACTGTACTCATAAGAATACATTTTAAAAGACAAGAAATTTATCTCAAAAGCTGCAGGGTGAAAACGAGAGTAGTAAGGTTGCACATGCACGCACATTCATTCATCTTAGGCACATTTACATACTCGATATAAAAGCACATCACAATGACCGTATCGACGATCTTAAAGAGTCTTTCATTTAAAGCAATCCTTCGATAGATATACATATACATACGATAAATTTTCGAAGGTGCAGAGAACCTGAACTGTGATTATTCGAATGATCATTTATAGTCACTAATAATATTAATATACATTATATTAAAATTAAAGTTTAAAAATAAACAGAAATATTAAAGATCATCAAGTTCTCAGAATTCTTTTTCGAATAACCGAACATTTTAACTTTAGTCGTTAGTATAAGGTAATTTTTCTCAATATGGTTAACGCAAATTGATGAAACAATATCTATAAATAAGTGTTTGTTAACAAAAATATATGTGAATGTATCTAGTGGATTGATCGATTGACCAATTAATGTTAGAATGGTACTTTATATTTTTCACCATTTTACGAAAATGTCGCCAAATAATTTTAAGTGAAACATAGTTTCAAGAAATATTATTATATTAAAACAAATTTAAATTTAATAACGTTCGATTAAACGAGAAAATTTGATTCTTTTCATTAATTTATTAAAACACTGATCAGTTCGAATAATCAAAATTTTAATATAGTTGAACGGGCTCCCCTAAGTTCGCTTTGAAGGAACAGGAGGTCAGATTTTTTTAGTCATTCATGTGGCATAACGTTTAGTCCAAAGCCGTGCTATACGATCGTGCTCTTCTCTATTTTGTAGATACTGTGTTGCTATACTTCCTACTAAAGGATCCGCTGAAATATGTAAAAATAAATGTATTAACTGTCCCATTTCAGTAAATATATACACACATACACACTTATTTCAGATAATTTAGTAGTACAAATAACATTACAAATTTGTACAACAAAATTATGAAAAATGTTTCTAATATAGACATAGAAGTTAATTTTGTTTTTTGTCTTATTTATTTAAATAAGATATATAGTGATTTCCAAGATACTTTATTTATAATAATTATGGATTTTATTTTACCTGGATTACAGTCTGTTAAGAGAGAACAGATGGACAATAGAACCTTGGAAATGGTTAGCGCAGGAGACCAATTATCCTTTAATATATCCAAGCAAATTACACCCTGACTGTTGATGTTACAATGATAGATGCGTGTTCGGAATGTAACCTAAAATCATTGTTAACGATTAACTATACATTAATAATTTTATGTTATATAATAGAATGGAGCCTGAAAAAAATTTAGCATATTATTGAGAGATTATAAAAATATTTATACACGTATCATTCATTTCAAGCAAATTACATTAAAAGATCTCTTTCAAAGAAGATATGCTGCATTTTTATATTATTCCTATGAGGTAAATATTTTATAGTGAAAAACTAATTACTAAATATTTTAAATATTTAAATAAATTGTTACTTTACTTTTCTTGTTTGAAAACTATTTCTATTTCCACTCTTCTTATATTATTTTGAACAAAATATAATTTAAGGTAAATAATCCACGGAAATTTAATTTTAAAATAAAATTTTCTGCTTATTCTTTTAATAAATATACTGTATGGTGAACACACGTTATTACAATGAAAAAATTTTCAACAATTTCAAAAATGTTATATTATGAAATAATTAAAACAGGAAGTATTGTAAATATAATATAAAATAATACAAAAAATAAACAAAGATATAGTAAGATAAACAAAATAGTTTATAAAATATGCATTGAAATAATTTTTAATTATCAATGTAAATTTTCCCCCTTTGATTATTTTTTTCATGTAAAAACGTTTATTTATCTATTTAATTAAACACGATTGTCTTTATTTCCAATGATAATAATATTCAATTTTATAAATATTAAATATTAAGTGCTGTAAATTTACAAAAAGAAGGCTATAATTTGTACATAAAATATATTAGAATCAAAACAATTTACTGTAAATTCATATCATTTCATGTTTGAGCAACTTTTTTTTTGTAACATGGCATTATTATACACTAATAATATTTATTATAAAATTTATTAAATTGATAATGAATAAATTAATTAAACTGTGTTATAAACATACCTTTGGAGGTTTAAAAGGATACTCTGGGGAAAAGTGTATATCTAAAAAAAATACTCCTCCCTCATAAACTGAACCTGGAGGTCCAAGTATCGTTGATACCCATTCATATAAATTGTCTCCCTTAGGTCCTGCACTATAAGATAAATACTAAAATTAGATAGATTATTTAATAGTTTAAAAAATGTGAAAAATAGAAATTATAGTTTTTATGAAAACTGATGGCTGATTCATAAATAGAAATAGAATTTGTCTAATTATGAAAATATATTTAAAAATCAAACTAGTATTTCTCAAGTAATAAATAACCTAAGTGTCAAAACAAAATTAACGAAGAAGACCAAACCTGCAATTTGGAGGTGGATCTAATGTGATTTCTGCCAATTCTTTTTGTATCCTGCGACAAGAAGATTAGTTTAAGCTCTTGTTAAACCTCCATGGCTAAGTCTTTTTAATTTTGGATGGATGTGCTACCTTTTGGCGGATGTTCCTAAAGCTTTCGACATCTTTGGATTAGGCTTCGCTTCCTTGCTCTCAGGCTTATTGTCTGCCAGTGATGAACCACGCCCCCGGCTAGTTCCACTGGAACCTGCGCCTGATGACATGGCTCTAAAATAATTCACTCAGGCTATAAAATGTATACATATTAAAATATATGTAACAAGATATAATTTAGGAAATAAAGTTTGGTAATATATATTTATTACATTATATATTTATAAAATAAATAGATAAATAAATGAACATGTAATTTTATAAATTATAAATTAAATAATGGGACAAACCTCGTGCCCTTAACTATGGACGTTGAGAACCTCTTTGAACAAAACGCACAAAAGAGATATACTCTTATTAATGGTAATTTATCTTCACCAAAAATTGATGAACGAACAATTCTCACCTAAAATTTATATAAAATACAGAAAATAATTTCAGTAAAATCAATTTTTTGTAATATAAGGATATACATTAATTAACAAAAGCATAAATGAATCATGCTGAGGTTAACTAATAATATCAGACTATGTACAATATAAATTCATGTACAAAGTTATACCTATCATAAATATATTTATAATTATAAATAAAAGTACAAACATTTATCAAAGCATGCCTTTAAAATTAAACAATATACTGCATGGTTAGGTATTTTATTATTAAGGTTTTAGTGATAGAACAGAGATTAAGTTATAAATATTGTTTTATGCAAGTAACATTTTACAATTTAAAATCAAAATAAACCAAATTCAATATTCAAATTAAATATTTCCAAATTTTATTATATATAAACAAAAATTACATGAATAATTAAACAACTTCAGTAAAAAGATCTTAGCAGAAGAGTTTTGTTAATTTAAATCATATTTAAAAAAATTATATATAAAAGGGATTTATTGAATTTTGCAATTTGTTTAATGCTAATAGAATATGGACTTACATATATTAAATAATAGCCTGAAATATAATTGTCACAAGATGAAATCTATATAAATATATAAATCTTTATAGAATAAGTGAAAATGTATTTATTATTTTGTTCTCTTATCTAATTTAATCTGCAAAATTCTTGAAACATATTATCCGCATTGAATTAAAGAATTTGATAATTAGACAACGAAAGATCGTATAGTAATTATCAATAATTTCTGTTTAAAAAAGAGGATCATAGAACCATTCATGATTCAGAGAAAGAGGTGTGTTACCTCGTTGGTACAGAAGCCTTTCAATCGTTTTAGAATGAACTTTAGGACCAAGGATCGAACTTACGTAAATCCCAAGTGAACCGGCCGAATTCCTTATAGGACGTACTGCTGGAAGCGAGCGTGCTCCTCAGGTGCTGCTATGTAGGCTGGCGGGCTTCATCGTCGCTCTCATGTCCCGAAGTCACGATCGCGGCGTCCCTTTTCCCTCGGCGAGCGCCGAAACGTGCGCATCTCTGCGTCGCCGGATGTTGACTCTGTCGCCGCCGCGGCGGACATCGGTAGCCGACGCTCCTAGATGGACGCACTGTAGCTATGATTATTTAGTAATATGCAATACCAATCATCACCAATAAATTCCCTAATAGTACTCTTTAATTTTTTTATTAGGTTAGGTTACGTTAACGTACATAACATTGAAACTTTGTTTAATAACATATTTAATATATATTATTTATGAATTAATACAAATATAAACTTTTTCCTATCGTTTTTTAATTAAAATATAATTATTTAAGAATATTTATATAAAAGATAATAGTTTTATTGTATATATAACACTTTTCCATTGATACCTATACAGAAATTGGAAAAAAAATTTATTATATAGCATAACCATAACATTTTCTATATAAAACTTAAATTTAATTTTATTTCAGAATTCAAAATTGAAATAACGAATAATCGATATATCGACAGCTAGTATAAATCGATTAGCAAATCGAAATATTTTTTATGGAATTATTTCATCTTTTATTTATTTTTTATGAAATATTTTCTTCTGTTTACACTTTCTATAAGAAAAAATAAGACTAAGCTGGTTGAGATCGCGTGAACTTTAGTCCCACGATTACATATCTTCTGATTATAAGTGTTCGTAGCTTTGTACAAGTGTAAAGATATTTATAATTTCAGTTATAAATATTTAAATAAATAAATAGACAAATAATATATTTGTGTAGTTTATAATTATAAAATTTAAATTTAATATGTACAAAATACAGAAGTTAATTTTTGTACTTTTCCTTGTCTTCCATATTTGCGTCCCTGGTAAGTTGTTGTCTAGATGTTATTTAAAATAATTAAATTTTTCTAAATTATTAGAAACGTTATATTACTCAGAAAATAATAACATGTTTAATAATATATTTAAATAAAATTACAATATAATCATATTTACTACTAAATCTTTTCACATTTCTTGGTGATAAATATGTCTGTTTTTCATAAAACTAAACAACTTTATAAATTATTGAATAAATTATGAATTTCTAGATGAATATAATATTTATGTAACGTGACCTTTAAATAATCTTTGGTACCATATGTAGTTCTTGAAGCGTAATTTAAACATATTACTTTTACGAATTATACGTAGAAACTAGAACGTATAATAATACGTAAAGGATATTCGCAATTGTAATTATATATACTATATGCAACTTTGATCTTCGAATTGATCGTAGTTCTTTTCCGTGTCTAGTTTAAAAGGTTCTAGATTGTTACTTAATAAATGATATACGTGTTTAATAACCAATGCAATTGTATTTAAATATAATAATGCAATAATCATCCCCCAAAATGATTATTTATTAAGTTGATATTTAAAATCATTATTCGAAGATTACTGTAACAGAGTAGTATATTTACATTACAGGCAAAAATATCGTTTATAACTTTGAAAGCTGCGAATAGAAGCGAACAATCAAAATTGCATTTCACAGCCTTTAAAAAAAAGATATCATTGATTAATGATTTGTAAATAAATATTTATGAAGTAATAATACTAACTGGCTAAGATATACTACGTTTGTTTTAAAATAGATATTCTTAATTATTAAGTATACAAAATGTAATTTCTTTAAAAAACTGAAGCTAATGTAATTTTTTATTTTTAGACAAGAATCAAAATTGCCCAAAAATTATTAAACGGAACGAGTGGACAGTAACGAGTGCAAAAAGCATAAATTATTTAATTATTCCCCTTCCGTATGTGCTAATTCACCATACAGTAACTCCAGAATGTAATACCAAAGGTTCATGTATCGAGGTAATCGAAAGCATTCGTTCTTATCATATGGATGGCAATCAATGGCACGATATAGGATATTCTTAAGTATCATTTTGAACATATTACGTTATATGTGCTGCAACATAACATACTTGCGTAGAATCTTCAATTTAAATATAAGAAAACTAATTAGCACTAATTAATTAATGTTTACTTATAAAAAATTTAAGTATACTTTATTTCGCTTTATACTAATTTACTTTTTGATGTAACGATTTTAACGAAACTTTTATTCTTTATAATTTCTTAATAAGGTACAAACGGTACTTCCGCGAAATAATGAATATTTTATTCTCTGTTCATTATTTAATACTTTAAATCAACAGATTTTTAATTGGTGGAGATGGAAACATATACGAAGGTTGCGGCTGGAATCGCGAGGGTGCTCATACATATGGATATAATAAAAAATCTATTTCAATTGCTTTCGTAGGAAATTTTCAAGGTATTTTATGAACTATTATTTTAGAATACTATGATGAAATATTGCATAAAATACGTATTCCTCTTCTTCAAGATTTATTTTTTTATTTTGTAATTATATTTTTGATAGTAGTTAACTTATTTTAAATTGAATAATTTTTCATTCAGGGAAAGCTGCGAGTAGTAAAATGGTGGATGCTGCGCATAAATTAATTCAGTGTGGTAAATCACTAGGAATGCTTAGAGAAAATGTTCGCGTAATTGGTGCTAGGCAAGTTCAACCCATGCTAAGTCCTGGGAATGAACTCTATAAACAGATCCAAAATTGGCCTGAGTGGGTTGCTACACCGTAATTGTATAATCTGCAATGTAATATGAAATTAGTAACAGTAACAAAGCATGAATGATATAAGTACAACAGAAAATGTCACTTTGAATAATATATTTCCTGTTACACGTAATAAATACATATTATTTTATATTTTAAATATATTCTTTTCTATGGGGTCATCTGCAGTCAATAGTTTATGCAATTCCAATACAAAGTATGGAATAGATAAATGTTATTATTAAATTATTATTAAAATTATTGACTGCCGATGAACCCATAGGAAAAAATCAAGTGGTGACAAATCCTGGGATCGTGATACTCAACCAATGTTCTCCAAACTACGTGGCCCTTCCGTAAAGTGTTAAGCAAAGCTATGGCAAGTTCATATTTTTTCTTTGTTGTGAATTGTCGGCAGTTTGTAAATAAGTTCTTAGATAAGTTTCTAGTAATATAACACTTACTCAAGATTCTTGACGTGAATGTAATTTCGAGTCTTAATAATAAACGTAAGTTATTATCACCCACTCATGTCATTTTTTATTGCAATTTTCATTTCTTTCCTTTCAGATTAAGGTCATGGTGTACTAAGTCGTTGAATTCGACTATATATAGGCTACAATAATATTAGGTCAAAAATATAAAGTGCAATTTGAAAAAACGAATGTGTTCTTCAAAATTCTTGAAAAAAGTATTCTTTAAAAATTGTATAGAACATAGAAAACACAACAACTTGTGTTTGAAATATTTTTTCTGCCAGATTATCGCAAGTACTTGAAAAATCGTATATAACATTGTGTGAAACCCTCTATATATGTATATACTTATGAAAGATATCGTTGCAGATTTCAAATTTGATGCAAATACTTTCAAAAAATATTGTTTATTAAATATTCCTCTTTTTTCTTATGCTTTTTTCTATCATTTCTTTCTTTTTTATTTTTGCCTTGATGTTTTAAAAAAACAATTGTTTCTTCGTCGACGTTTATAAATAATTCAAATAAGTGAAACCCTTTGTATTTTATATGTCTTCTTTATGAAACGTAAAAAGTTGTGTTTTAATTTTAATTTTATTTCACTTTTTTAAATAATAGCATATTTTTGTCTAATATAGTTCATTTATGAAACTATAATTAATTTAAGAAATATAAATAAAAATAATCATTTTTCTTAATGATACCCTATATTTATTTTACATTTACAAGTTTCCTTTATTTATCAATTTATTTTTTTATTAATCAGACGTCATTTTTATTAAAAACTTGATTTATCTGTATCTTTTCCTGGATCAAGATATTTTTCAGTCATTACATTTCTTTTTCATTGTTTATTTTTCTACTCGTTTTTAGAATGACGTTTATAAAAGCTTAAGATTATTTTTATTTATAAATCGTAATAATGGTAAAAAATATGCACATAAATTTACATTTTGGAACACTTTGCCAGTAAATTAAGTCGATTTATATTCGTGAATTATATACAAATATTGTATTCAAAACTATAGTTTTGCAATTCCAATTTTTCTGAGTTTTAGAGAATTACAAAATTACTTAAAGTTTGATTAATTTTTTGGTTAATCATGTTTTGTATTTAAACGTACCAATATATTTATTTATTATACTTCCTTTTGCTTAGTTTATCATATTTATATTCTATCATACACCTATCCTTCAAACGATATGCGTGATATCCTTGATTTTTCCTATTTACTTCTTTTGTTGTATATCTTCTTCTTCTCATATTCATGTTTCTTTACTCGCATTATATTCTTTTTCCATTTTATGTAATTAATATCATTTCCATAATAATTAATAATAATATAATATATATTATTAAATATATAATAATAATACAATGAATAATCATTTCCATATCATTTTATTAACTTAAATTAGGTACTCTAAATATGTTTTCTCTAATATATTTTTATCCGTTAGTGTGCAATATTTTATGATATATTTTATAATAATCGACATGTGTACTTTTATTGGTAATTTTTATTATTTAGATATTTGATTTGATATTTTATTCAAACCACTAATATTAACATAAGTTTTATAATCTTCAAAAATGTAGTTCTATATAACCGAATATATTAAATTACAGGATTTATCTAACCAAATATTGTGAGTGTTGGTTTTGTCTGTGTGAGTGTGAGTGGGGTTGAATGAATGAAACTCATTTGGCTGTAATTGTGCAATATGTGATATTAATGTGAGACTGAGTGCTGTCTACTGTGAATGATGTTAGAAAAAATGTTCAGAATAATGTGACAGAATGAAACAGTTGTCTGAGAAATTTCAAAGAGTGAACACATAAATGTAATCGTTATTAAGAGTGAGTGATAAAGAAGAAATTTCTGGAGAGAATACACTTTTATTATATATTATATGTATTATTATTATTTATTTTTCAAATAGTTTATTATTTAAATATTTTAACTTAAATATACCTTGTGTGTTATTCGTTAAAAAGGTCTTAGATATTATTGTCCATTCTACCCACAAATATTGTGATATTTTATTGTAGTTACTTGTAAGTAATTTGAAAAGTTTTGAATAATTTCTATTCCTTCAAAAAATATTATATTGAAGAACTATCTTACATTCTTATCAGTTTTCTAACGATAAAGAAAGTCAAACATAGTTTTCATTTGATAAACAGAACGTCTCACAGTATGTATAAATCGTTTTAATAATTACAATCACGAACATTCTACATTTCCTTAAGTTATAGTCATTTGTACAGTAGTGATATTTGAAACAACCATTTTTAATTTTGAACGCCATTGTCAAACGTTCGTACATTTGTTTTTAATCAAAAATCTTTATATGCAGACTGTAATAATGCTAAACATGTTATATGAAAACATACAAACTGATAGAAAATCAGTTATTCTATTTTAACTTCATCTTTTAATGTCATCATGCATTATTTAAACACAATGATCATGACTAAGAGACAAGGTCAGATAGGATACATATTTGTATGAACTTTTCCCATTATTTCTGTTCCTCTCTCCAGCATTGAAGTAGTACAAAGCACTTTTTACATCAGAGAAGACATTTATAAAATATGATTTATCAAAAATAAAATATTATTTAAAAAATAAAAAGAATTATTTTTACCATATTTTATCCATATCCTAATTAATATTTAATATACAGTTGTAAAATATATTTTCATATGAATAAAAATAAAAATAATTTGACAAAGGATGGATTTTATAAAGTAATAAGTAAATTTGTACATTATACGTTATTATATTCTTTCACATATAAAAACATTGATTACATTTATATATTGTGTTATACTTGCACACAAAGTGACATCCAATCTTCACATAACTAAATGCTGCAATAAATCCCAATGAGGAAAAATATTCAACCTTGAAATATTTTTTTTTCATTTTCCTTTTATGTAAGTTGCAGTATGCATATGAGTATTCACGTTGTTGTTAGTCCGTACTTTTTCCCATAAATAAGTATACGAGCATAAGTATATGAAGAAAGTGGGGGTCTTGGAATGGGAGTCTGGATGTGGGAATAATTCCGCTACTTTTAAATTAAGCAATTAACTATAATATGTTCAAATTCTAATTAACTATAATATGTAAAAGTTGGTAAATTAAAAAAAAAAGATAATAATGATGATAATAAATATAATAATAATAATAATATAATAAAAATAAGATAATAAAAATAAAATAATAATAAAATAGAATAAGAAAATAAGAAAATAAAAATAAGTAAAAATGAAGTATTGCACATCCTCTTATTTGGATTTCACCTTATTTTCATCTGAAAACGAGTATTTTTACGTACAATGTAATAAATTTATTCTTAAATTTATTTTAACATAATCAATACAGACTAATTTGGAAGCTTGAAAAATATCATCTGTCCAATGTTTATACATGGACATTAATAAAAGACAATAATAAAAAAACAATATTATATAGTTTATTTTGAATATTTCCAAAATATGTTTTTATTTTTTTTGTTCCACCTATAAGTTATCGTATTATGATCTAAGTACGAGGATGAAAAGAGAAATATATAAATTTAGTTTCACATTCGTACAAACGGAACTTTAGTTGGAAAAATATACTCAAATATGAAACTTGGTTTGATTTTTCTAGCGAATTATCGCAACATTCGATCCATAAGCAGAATCAAATCCATGAATAAAAATAAGAAAAAGATATTGCATAAAGTTTAAGTGACTCTTCGTTACAAAATTATACGCAAATATCGAACACCACGTAAAAGGAGTAATGGCGGATATTTCATCGTAGAATACGAAAGGTTAATCGTATGCACTATATCTGTACTTATATGATGTACCGATATCATTGAATCTAACTGACTGATAGTTAATATCATTAATAGCGATGCCATAATAAGCCCGACCTTTCATATTCTACAATTTAAAAAAATGCATTCTTACCTATATTGTACATACACATGTATATATTGTATATCATACTACGTTCAACAATTATCTATAACTCCATGAAGAAGCGTTTACAGCCAAAATTACGGTAAAATTTTGTTTTCCTTCTGAAACGAATTTTCTTTTATATTTTGCTTGTACAGTACTATTACAGTATTAAAACTACTAGCCCATAATGCGTAATTACATATAATAGTAATACATAAGTATACATATAACGATAAAGTAGCGTGATAAAAACAGATATATATCTACTTATTAGCTTTTACCGAGAATAGCTTATAATTTTTGTGAATAAAGAACAAAAATGTCCGAAATCGGTTATCTTGACTAGTTTAGTTCTAGTTCTAGTGTTAGATAGAGTCTAGGGAAAATTTGATTGTTGGAAGATAACTTTAAGTAATGAACCTTGGTCATAATTAATTTCAGAATTTAACACTTCAAAAATTATTATAAATATATCTATCGTTGCGCTTTAAATAATAATTATACTTAAGGGAATAATGGTTAACATAATTTACCAAATGAAACGGTTAAACAAAAATATTATTCTGTATTAAAGATAAATAACAGTGTATTCTCTATTATCGACTAAGACGATGAAGAATAATTCTGTTCAAATTCGTTATAAAAAATTAATTTGAACATTGAGATATCTAATATTTCCAACATTTCAAATATTTTGGTTATTTTTTTTTTTTTTTTTTGTCGTATGTAATAGTTTTTAGTGCTCCAATATAGTAGGACTAGCATCTGGATAACAGCTTTAGATGCCACGAATGTTTTATACAAAAACAAACGAAAGATGTTTTTCTCTGAATATATTTTTGTTGATAAAAAAAGAGCATCGATATATTTACCCCTTCCCTCAAAAAGAACAAACGAGTCGTGCTTGAAGAGAACTGGAATGTAACCAGCCTACCTTGAAAACTGGCGCGTATTCGCCTAATATATTGACCCTATCTTTGTTTAAACTTAATTGGAAAAATATTATAACGCATAATATTTCATCATTTTCTTCCCTGATTTTTCCTTTTCCCTCTTTGTTATGTACGCACAGCTCTGCACGTACATATGTATTTCTCAATTCCTGCTCATACATATGTATATTTACTGATTTATTTAAACACGCAACGTTGTAAGAATTCAAATGAAGGTAAAATTGAAATTATACGTAGCTCTGCTATACTCTATGCTGTTTTAATCATAATAAATAAAATGATTTATCATTACCTAAAAATACAACGATTACGAATCGTTGATATTAGCGATTAATTGCAGTTAGGGAACGTAAATTAACCGGGAAGACTTTTGTTCGACTTTTCAAATGTTCTTCTGGATAAGAAGAAAATTAGAGTAGTATGTAAATAATTATCGAATATTCAAATAATAATCGAAGGATGAAAGAAGAGCGACGATAATTTTCCAAACTCGTTCATTCATCGCTTATTGGTAATTATCCTTTATTACCTGCCCCCTTATGTAGCCTCAACACTTCTTTGTGGCTCTTTGTGCCTGAAGAAACATATATAAACTCGGTCCTGGCCAATGCGATCTCAGTTCTCAGAATGCCGCGACCAGTGCACTTGGTGAGTACAAAATTCACGTTATGTTTGCTTCGATCGTTCGCACGTGTGAATTTATTTACCAGACCTTTCCCCATTTTCCTGTCTTTTCTCATCTTCAAATCGGTATTTTTAATATTTTATTGCTGGATAGAATTTCATTAGATTATGTCACACGTGTCACTACTATTGATTTATATTGCTTCAACGAAATCTTGGACGATACTAATATTTTGGAAACGATTGTTCCGTTTATGTTGCACATTAAACAGTAAACAGTATAAAAGAATAAGGAAATTATTTTTGTTCGCGATGAATCTTCCGTTGTTGTACACGAATAAAAAGCAAGGATGTTTTTCAAACATAGGTTTTACTTCTCTTAATGGTGGTCTTGGTGGCCTCTTTGGAAGATCCTTTAGGACCTGCTCGTCCAGAGATCGCATCTTCTTTAAACAATGCTAATGACTTAGATGCTGATGCAACTTCCTATGGGTAAATGAAAATAATTTAATCTAACTTAATTATCAATTTAATTTCATATTCCATATTTAATTTTGCACTACGATTTGATTATGAAATATTATGCATCGAAGTAGTATTTAATTCTAGTTAACCACTATATTTCTGTTCCATCCATGATAAAATTTGATAAAAATTTTAGAAATTCTTCGAATATTGTGCATGTTAAAATCTGTGAAATATGATTATGGTTGTGTGATTAGTATAGCTCGTAATCACGGGATTTAACATGAAGAATTCGTGACGAGTTATACTTATCGTTGGAGTGATTTTAATTAGAAATCAAAAATAAAAGTTACACATAATATCAGATAGGAAAGATTTATGTGATTTATGTTTCTTAACTTATTACAAAAAGTGATCAGTGATGAATTAATGAATTATGAATTAAGTTATATGAATTGAATTAATAAAAATTTTATTTTATGTTTATTCTACGTAGCAAAAGAAATACGCATAATCATTTTCGATTAGAGACTATTAATTATTATTTTCGATAATAAAACGTTTCCTTTTTTTCTAAGAATTTTTCAGTTCTTTCTTAAGTTAAGATTCAAGTTTCCTTTGTCACGTATTACGTCCAACTTCGAGTTTTGTAGAATAATATTTTAACGCTAACGTTAATTTTATTACAGGAAATTTAAGTAAAATAAAAAAAGACATTAATTATTCACAAATTTAGAATACTTTCTTAAACTATCGTTTAATTAAATAAAATGGAAAGAATGTTAATTGTTAATATTAGCTTGAAAATATGATGGTAACCATAGAAGTAGCTTGCAAATCGTTCAATTTTTTTCTATATTGTGTTATTTATATTATAGACAAAAGTTTTTGGAATGAAAAGATATTTTCTTAGTAATTTAATGGTAGTAATCTTTAACAATAGTAATTTCGATAGAAGCATTTATAGTGTCCTTAATCTATGCCAACATTTAAAGACATAAGGACGACAAGGAATTAAAGAAAAATTTTCTTTTGAATTGTAATAAGCTTTAAAACAGAATATTACATTAACGGAAAGTACATTATTCATTTAGGAACTGGCTTTCGGCCTATTACTTTTTGTCTATTTCAATACATATAACATTTCACATTTTGTCAAATTTATATCAAATATACAATTTAATTAAGTTATATTGCTCTATTATGTTACAGATAAATTAATGAAATATATATTATAGATCGACGTATACTGATATATACTAGATACATATGCATATAAAATGGCTTCACCTTTCCTTAATTTAAATCTTCGAATTATTAAACCGTTTGTTGCATAATGATAATAAAAAATATCATTGAATGTAACACGTGGAAATTAATCAATTAACATCATGCGACGAATACACGGTATTTGTCAACGATAACGAAACTTTTTCAGTCTGATATAATATATGTACGTTCCTCTGGTTTTTTTTCACATTGTCTATTCTCATATCTCGTTGTCGTATTTTTATAAATAAAATGTCCTAAAATAACGAGTTTTACGTCATATAATGACTCGTTAATAGCAGTATTATAGCGCCAAAACAGTTAACATAATCGTACCTATAAATCATTCTTTTTATATTCTCATATTTTTACATTCTTATCATTAAAAATAATATTTACAAAACTATTTGATAAATTCTTCATTAACAAGTTACATTTTATTTCTAGCATTTCATTGATAATTTATAAAAATAGGAAAAATATTTATAAAACGTATAAATATTTATAATTTGCTTAAATTACTTACAAGTACAAACATTTTTAATTTACTTACATTTATAATATATCTAACCCTATAACTATCAGACTAGTCAAAACTTTCATTCGAATAAACGTGTGATTATGTTATATTTATTTATTTATTTTCATCGTATTACTTTGCACCTATTTATCTATTTTATTCGCGATAAAATTAAACAAAATTTTTAGGATTTGTACAAATTTTGCGCATAAAATACATTAAATATAATTTTAGGTGAATGCGTGTATAATTCATCTTTATCGAGTTTAACTTTAACGAAAAAACTCACGACGAGTTAGACTCGTTATTATAATAGTATAAGGGGGTTAAATGCTATTTTCTGTGTATAGTACGATATACTTAGCCACGTATTACAGGTTTCATTGACGAACGAAACTTTTTTATTCGCTTTAATAATGAATCTATTGATATTTTGAAGGTATTCGAGACCCTGGCGTTATGGATGGTCAAGTGGAGGTGGATGGCGAAATGGATGGGGTGGTGGGTATGGAGGATGGGGCTGGGGAGGAAGAGGATGGGGCTGGGGAGCAAGAGGCTAGGGTAACAAAACTAGTGAACACTTTTAACAATGAGAAATAAAAAGGTTGTTCAACTATGAAATTGTTCTGTAACATTTCTAACATTGTTTTCTTTCAACCATTATAATTTTTATACTATAATTATATTTTATAAATAAATTGAATTTGCAGTATAACCTATTACACACCTCGTTCTTACGCAAGTATCTGGTTCTATTAGAGTGTGCGGGATCTGAAATCTACGAGATTCCTGAAAATTTTGAGAATTCCATCATTCGTTTTGTTGAACATCGTTTGTTTTGAAAAGACTATATCATACATCTATCGTGTAATCAGTAATTAAAACGGTATTTCTCAAAATTTTCGAGGTCCCGCACATTCATAGGTTCTATACCTCGATTTACCTTCTTCGTTTATGTTTCTCTCCTTTTGCGATAGCATTGTAACAAAACGTTTCACCTATTAGCAATGCTGTTAGACAACAAATTATAAATGTTTCTATTTCATACTGAATTTGCTGAAAATGTCTACGACCCAGCAATACATAGTATAAACAATGATTTGATACACTTTGTAGAAGACATGGCCGTCTCGGTTTCTTATTCAGGTTGACTGTGTTATTAACTTTCAAATAAATCGTATGCAAAAATAGAATATATTACGAAGAAAAATTCGCGCGATATGATAAAAGTGCACTAGTAAGAAAAATTAAGGGATGGAAAAATCGTAACTTTTGAACCTCTGTAACATCGTGAAGAAACGTCGTAGGACGATCAACTTACAGTTAGATTCACTTTAAAGCTCGAAGCTTCTACTTTGACACATTTGAACAATCTGTTCTCGAAAAATTTCTGACATCAAAAAGTACAGTGAAAAATTGGGAATAGTCTTTTTCTTATAAAGTCTTTGATTCTTACAAAGTCTGACCACTCTACGGACCTCGATCATTTTTTTCCTTTTTTGTAATTCATTTTGTAACGGTGCGGTAGAGAAAAGTTTTCTCTTTACAAACTTACATTATAAACTCATAATCAGTCTATAAAATCTTTTACCAACGTCTTTGGTTCTTGGGCGAATAGGTTATTGCCCTAATCTGGGTGATTGGCATGTCGGATTTTTTATTGTCTCATTTTCCGAGCCAATGCCCCGGTTTGTTTGCTTTTCGAGCAATTTTTCTCTGTGCGGTCTTGCCGCTATATATTCAACCATACTTTTCATTCATACTGCCATAAAACGGTGAGAAAAAATTGTGTGGCAAAATTTAGGTAGCCTTTGTAAAGTGGAAACTGGCATAATTGATTTTATGAAAAAATTGAGAAAAAAGAGATATTTTCGTGATGAGATCGAACGCTGATAAAAAATTTGGAAACAACTATGTTTATTACTGCACCACTATTACTGTTGATTGTGACAACCTTTGCTATTCTATTATGACTACATACAAGTATAACACGATTAATTCGTACCGCGTTATATGGAAACCGTGTTATATGAAAATCCGAATTAATTAAAATCAGGAAATGCGTTCTGTGGAAACAGCGTTATGAGAAATATAGTAGTAAGACAAATCGGATTAATTTATACCGCGTTACATGGAAACCACTGTCGCGTTATATAGAAACCGCGATTTAAGAAACTCAGGAATAATACAAATTGAATGAATTCAACATAAAAACATTCTCAAAGTATCAAGTTACGATTGATACGGTTAATAAATAAAATTTTATAATAGAAATGGCAATGAATATGTAGATTTTTACATATTTGAATTTGAGTTTATCGAATATAATACATAGTTCATGTAATAAAAGTATAATATATATTAAAATAGGATTCCAACATGTTAAAATTAAACGGTTTATTACTTTGTTTTATATAATTATCTTTTGGGAACCGATCAAAGCCCTTCTTAAATTCTTTTCTATCGTAAGTTCTCTCATCCATCAATGTTATTCCATATTTCTTCTTATTTATATTTATTTCTGAAACAAATGTTTTATTCTCAAACACTCTTATGAAACCGCTTCAGTCTGATCAGAATTCAGATATTCTTATTACGTGGTTCCTACATTGAGGATACCACAATTAGATTGTTTTATTATTCATCATTACTGTCAAATATTTGCAATCTAACCCTCTTTTTTCTCATTGGTGTTGGAACCCGGATTGAGAACGTTATAGACCGATTAATCTTTTTAGTATATTTCAGAACGCCTGTATATATAATACGAGTTCTACAACGAGGCTACGTCGGAAAATACAATAGCTATGAATCGGCGGAGAAGAATAAGAACTGCCCCCGTACAGTTTTCGGATGTGCTTATATATTCTTATTTTTTGGTGGGGTGAAAATGAACATTAACCCTTAGTCAAGGTAGGAATGAGTAAGATGTTTTGAACTCTGACGTTGGCCTGTCTTCATCAAGTTCTTCATCAAAGGATCAACTTGATCCTTTCAGTGGCTAAGAGTCAACGGATCGTTGGTCATGCAATACCTACCTCCTTAATGAAATTGAAGATGATAATCTTCAATTATGAAATTTGCTTACTTAATATAATTAAAAATTTGAAATTAATAGAATTACGATTGTACGCGAATTGTGTGAACATATATGTAGGATCTGGGGTTGTGGGAATTGACTAAAGTAATGTTGTTTTACTGCTTCTTAAAATACAATAAACTTATTGGCTACGAAACTAGAGACCCGCTACGGGTACGCTCGACTTTTACTTCTTACACTACCTTTGGGACCGTTAATGACTAGTGCTGCCCGCGTCCTGGCACCCTTATTTAAGCATTCACTCTGTCCTTTTCCATACCCAGACTTTCCTTCGCAATCATACTTCTTTCCCACACAACCTCGGTGGGCGCGGTATTTCAACACTCTGCACGCATATCTAATCTTTCGCTCTAACATAAACATTCATTGAAATCGATCCTCTTGCGCGCGGTCTCTTTCGTTCTGGGTCCAGACACACCTGCCATTCTTCCAGGGCCGTACTTATTCCAATCCCACACATACATAAACATAAACAAAGTGACAATAACATTGTTGATTCGTACATTTACATATTAATAAATATGCATAACAATAAAATAATAATACAATCGTCTACTAAGTATTACAGTAAAATGATAATGGAATATAGTAATATAGTAATATAATAATAGAATAGAAATATAGGAATATAGTAGTGTAGTATAGGAATATATAGTATATAGTAATAGTATATAGTGTATAGTATATAGTAATAGTATATAGTGTATAGTATATAGTAATAGTATATAGTAATAGTATATAGTGTATAGTATATAGATATAGTATATAGTAATAGTATATAGTGTATAGTATATAGTAATAGTATATAGTGTATAGTATATAGTAATAGTATATAGTGTATAGTATATAGTAATAGTATATAGTAATAGTATATAGTGTATAGTATATAGTGTATAGTATATAGTATATAGTATAATAGGAATATAGTAATATAATAATAGAATCTAAGTAATAGATATAAAATATTAAAACTATGATTAGATGGCTAATATAAATGTTGGTTTATTATATATATATATTTTATATTCTTGATACATGTATATATACATGAACGAGGAAATAAGAGAAAATAACTATAAACATAAATGGTTTTCTAAGACGTTAAATACTATAATGGTGTCGTACTTTTATGCGTTCTTGTTGGACGATTAGTTTTCCTGCGGAAGTTGTAAGATGGCGATACTAGCGACAGAAATTTGATGAACTCGATTGTACTCCTTCTTCTCTGGACACCGAGTTCCGGGCATTTGTATTCCATCTTGAGTATTATATAACACGATGTCTCGAGATTGCTCCCGGTATTCAGTGCGAACGTCAGAATCGAATGTGCAATTCACAAAATTTTTTATCATAGGTATCATAGGGTATAACTTCCCCATTGGCTGGATTCCTCGTGAAACAAAACAATCTCTGAAGAAATTTCTGGCACTCGAAGTAGCGGAAGCAGTTTCCGCAAATGAGAGGGAATGATATAGCGGCTATTACACACAAGGCTATAGTGTACCATTGCGTATGCGTTACAATGAATGGTTCTTTCAGTTTTTGCGTTATTAGGTCATCAAACTCGTTGATCTTAGTCAGTTTCATTGGTTTTAGTGATGTCGGTTCCAATTTCGTGATTTCCGAAGAAATACAACAATCGCTCCCGATTATACTAATCGAGGGAATGACTGAAGTTTTTATTTATATGGCTTGTAGGTTTCTGCAGAACGCAAATCCATTGATTTCTTCCTATGTATTTCCAACTTTCTATTTCGGATCGGATGGTCCTTGTTTCACAGTCGTTGGGAAGCTGATTTAAATGAGGCGATAGCAGAAAAATCTCACAGGTAGCTTCGTTCATAGCCTTGGTGGTGTGAACATTTGCACATACGTACGATCCATCCAAATACTCGTTGTAACCCAATAAGTTTGGTAGGAAAGAGAAATGATTTTTAAATTGAGATAAGAGTAAATACGGTTGCTTAGTGCTATATAGGAAAAGATGGATGAATTTCCATGTTGGATGGAAAGCGGAATTAATTGATATGCGTCAAAAATCGTTCTCTTTACAAGCGGAAATTTCAAAATGAATACAAGTCCTTTATCAACTATTGCTCGTAGGTTTGTTAATTTATGAAGAATCGGCAAGTTCTCGATATCTGCTGTTGCGGGCAATTCGAGATTACCCTTGTAATTACCTAATTCCTCATTCAGCTGTTTTGGAGTTATTATGAATGGTAAAAGTATGTTATGGTTACCTAAATTAATTGCTTCTATATATTTACCATACTAATCATTAAATTAGAGAGCAGAATAAGAGTTATGTCGGAATCATCTGAAATGTATAGTTTTAAAAAATTAGTATGATATTTGCATTTCTTCCTTCCTATTTTAATTTCTACTGTGTTATTATGATAGATTTAAGTAATTTTGAAGGCTGCTTTGAAATTAGTTGCTAATTTTTTACTTATTGTTAGT